TGAGCACCTGATAAATAAACCATAACACAATAAATTAAATTTGTATCACTGCATCTATCTCCCAGTATGAAAGAGGCTCCTGGTCTTATTCTTTCAAGGTTTATATTTCAAGGCAAGATTTCAGCATAATTTAGAAGTTTCCTTTTCTATTGAGTCAATTTGCTGTTTTTGAAATATTGTACAAATAACTCACATGTACCATGTTGGGTGGTGAATAATCTATCTTTTGATGAAAAGCATAAGTTCTTTTTAGAAGGAATCATTTATTTCTTAACATCCCCAAGGCAAAAAACTCCCAAGATAAAGCTAGGACTCTTCCTCTCTCTGGTTTATTTGACACCATATTTATAAAATAAGTTTTCTAAATCAAATGATCTTGAATATGTGACTTGGGAGGTTTGTGCTCTTCTACTCCTAAGGAAGAAAGCTATTGGGGAATGTTCATCATTCATTCAATCACTTATTCACTAGACACTCATTGAGTGCACTGGACTTGCAGAGCACTGTGCTAGGTGGTAATACTAAAGGATGGGGAAGATAAAAAGATAAATAAGAAAGCGTTCCTCCACATTAGGAGCTGAGAAGCCTATAATACATGAACCAAGCACTAAGTACAAAAAGCAAATAGGAGACAGTATGGTGCCTACATCTGATTGCACACCAAGGTCACTTGAGAAACCAATTTAAAATAAAGAGTCTTAAAATCCTGAAAGAGAACACAGGCAGCAATCTCTCTGACATCAGCCATAGCATCATTTTTCTAGATATGTCTCCTAAGGCAAGGGAGACAAAAGCAAAAATAAACTATTAGGACTACACCAAAATAAAAATCTTTTGTACAGCAAAGAAAACTATCAACAAAATGAAAAGGCAACATACTGAATGGAAGAAGATATTTGTAAGTGATATATTTGATAAGGAGTTAATATCCAAAATATAAAAAGAACTTATACACCTCAATACCAACCCCCCCAAACAATCCTATTAAAATGGGCAAAGAAGACATATAGATGGCTAACAGACACATGGAAACATGTGCAATATCAGTAATCATCAGGGAAATGAAAATCAAAACCACAGTGAAATCTTACACCTTACACAATCATCTTACACCTGTCAGAAGGCTGGAATCAAAAAGACAAGTAATAAGCATTGGCCACAGTATGGAGAAAAAGGAACTCTCATGCACTATTGGTGGGAATGTAAATTAGTACAGTCACTGTGGAAAACAGCATGGAGATTCCTCAAAAAGTTAAAAATAGAATTACCATATGATCCAGTAATTCCATTACTGGGTATTTACCCAAAGAAAATGAAAACACTAATCTGAAAAGGATATTATGCACCCCTATGTTTACCGCAGCAGTGTTTACAATAGCCAAGATATGGAAGCAACTGAAATGTCGATCAATAGACAAGGGGATAAGAAAAATATGGTACATACACACAATGGAATACTAGGCAGCCATAAAAAGGTGAGAACTTGCCTTTTTCAACAACATGCATGGATGAACCTAGAGGGTATTATGCTAAGTGAAATAAGTCAGACTGAGAAAGACAAACGCCATATGATTTCATTTATCTGTGAAATCTAAAAAACAAAACAGGTGAATAAATAAACAAAAGCAGAATCAGGATCTATAAATACAGAAAACAAACTGATGGTTGTGAGGGGAAAGGGTCGTAGCGGATGGGGAAAATGGGGGAAGGGGAGTGGGAGATACAGGTTTCCAGTTATAGAATGAATAAGTCACAGGAATAAAAGGCACAATGTAAGGAATATAGTCAATGACATTGTAATAATATCGTACAGAGACAGATGGTAGCTACATTTAGCATAGCATAATATATACAGAATATATATATATATATATATATATATATATAGCATAGCATAATATATACATGTATTATAGGCTTCTAAGCTCCTAATGTGGAGGAATGTTGTACACCTGAAATTAATGTAACATTGTGTGTCAACTATACTGAAATTAAAATTTTTTTTTAATTTGGGGCACCTGGGTGGCTCAGTCGGTTGGGCATCCAACTTCAGCTCGGGTCATGGTCTCACGGTTGGTGAGTTCAAGCTCCGTGTTGGGCTCTGTGCTGACATCTGGGAGCCTGGAGCCTGGTTCAGATTCTGTGTCTCCCTCTCTCTCTGACTCTCCCCTCCTCACACTCTGTCTCTCTCTCTCTCTCTCTCTCTCTCAAAAATAAATATTTTTTTAATTAATTTTTTTTATTAAAAAAATAAAAAACAAAGATTCTTGGGCCCCATCTGCTGGGCTGAGACCTACTGAATCAGAAGAAACTGAGAATTTGTTGGGGTTTTGTTTGTTTGTTTGTTTGTTTGTTTGTTTGTTAAGTATTCTTCACTCCCAATGCAGAGCCCAACACAGGGCTTGAACTCATGACCCTGAGTTCAAGAGTTGGACACTTAACCCACTGAGCCACCCAGGTACCCTGAGAATTTGCATTTTTATAAATAGTCGAAGTAATTCTGAGATTCAGGCAGGTGGGGAATTCCAAAGCTTAAATAATGTTCTAGTGGCTAGAAAATCCCACGTAGGCCCTACCACGAACACCAATAGCATTTTGCTGCCAACTCATAGTCAAGATCAGGGACACTGAGATCCTCATCTGCAAAGCCAGAAAACTAGCCTACAAAGAAGTGGTCTGACTTGCCCATAGAGAATATCCAGCTGGATATGCATCTTTAACTAGGAAGTCAAAGATTTCTAGCTATCATCACATTATTAGGAAATCAAATACCTATTTCAGCAGTATGCAAGACTATTCACACAGAATCACCGCTCATCAGAGCTAGGTGGGACCTCACAGATGGTTACAGGTCTCAGGCAGTAACACAAATGACTAAAACAGGCTAGAGGGGTCAGGAGTTAAAGGCCACCCGCTGCTCCACCTGAGCTGGTACTTGCCATGAAACAACGTGGGCCCAATGTGCCATTTCTTGCAAATTTTCAAGAGAAGCCAGAAATCTGGATTTGAAACACTCTGCATGCAAATAAAACAGACTTCACAGACAGATTTGCCCCACAAGCTACCAGTCTGTAATTCCCAATGTAATCCAAAGTCTTCACTTGACATGTGAGAAAAGAACCTGGTCCTATCCCTTATATATTTTCAGTTTGGCCTGCACCAGTAAGGAGAGACAGTTGTGGTTGAATTACGTTCTGCTCTTTTTCCTGGGTTTGATTTTGTCAATTTTATTGATTGGCCCTGATGTTCAAAGGCAAGTTTGGACGCCCTGGAATCTGGCGTCCGGTGGCTGGAAGATGCTCACGTATAAAAGCCCAGCACTCTCACCCCAACTCAGGACAACTCTGCAGAGCCACCCCAGCTTCAAAGCTCCCCAGGGGATGAGCTAACACCGTTTTTGTGGCCACATCACAGCCAGGCTTCCCCCAAGGCCCAGTCCTGTATCCCCTACATGTGTGGGTCCCAGAGCACTCCCCAGTACACTTGCATAGCTTCTCTATCTTCAAGTCTGCTTCCCAGGAATCTGGCCCCCAATGTCAAGCACGTCAGGATCTCACCGAAAATAACCTCACCTGTGACAGTCCGGACTTGCAAAGTCAAATCAGAGGACCATTCTGTGCAATGTGAAAATTTCTTCTGTAGTTTATTTCGAAAATGGTTTTATTGGTTTTTGAAAAATCATACTATAGTAGATGCTTCCTATTTCACGTCCCCACCTCTGCCCACATCTGTGGCGGGCAGTTCCAGAAGTTCAGACTCAGCTGGTGTTGACAGTGTCTGGCTCCTTTTTCTGCCATTACACTCAGAGCTTTTTCTGATGCTTCAGGGCCCACTGGCCCCTCACAGGTAGAGCCCGCAAAGGTGGGGATGTTTGTGCCAACGAGGACTGGGAGCTAATGGATTACTGCTCCATCCCGTCTCCTGGCTTTTGGGCAAGTCCCAGGGCAAGGAGCTCCCATTCCCCACCCCACAGCCATTATACACCCTGACATGGGCTTCACCCACCCCATCACCTCTCTCCCTTGGTCCTTTTCCTGGGATCATGTCTCAAATCAACCATACCAAGTCCAGAATGAGATAGATGCATCCTCAATTTTTAAATGCTCAACAATACACAAAAGTATAAGAAGAGAGTAAAAGTGCATTTGCAAAACATCCCTCCAATTGTATTTCTATGCATTAATGCCCATTTATAAATAGCTTCAAATAGATTGGATCAACCTAGACACTCTGTGTACTAACCCAGCAGGTCCCTTCAAACACTTGTCTTACTGAGTACATTTAAAATTCAAACCACCTTCTACAATTGTTTCATTCATACATCCATTCATTTGACAAATGTTTGTTTCAAGTCTTCTATCTGCAAGGCACAGTGCTAAATACTGTAGATGTTACAAAGACATCTCCCATGCCCTCAGGGTGTTTCTATCCATTTTTCTATTTAATTTTTCAGGAGCATATCGATTGAACAAATTAAGGCCTGCATGTTTTCAAAAACCACATTAGGACTCCTTGAAATCTAATGCCACAGGCTTAAATTAGAGTTTCCATCCAACTGGTAGATATAAGATGAATGGACTCCTGGGTTCAAATTTTGGCTCTGTCACTAAGCAGAAGTGTGACCTTGGCCCTCATTTTTCTTGTTTGTAAAATGGGGGATCATAATAACTCTTGTCAGTAGTTGTGAAGATAAAATGAGATAATCGATATAAAGAACTTGGCACAGTGCCTGACACAGAATAAGCGCTCAATACATTTTCACTATAATAATTATTTTCGTCTCACATTAACCTCAGGTCCACTAAGTGTGAAGCATGGATCCAGGCACCATGGGAATTGGGCAGAATATTGAAACTCAAAATACAGACACTGTCCAATGCTTTTCCACTCGTCAGTTTTATCAGCTTGGAGTCCCGTCACTGTCACTGGGGAGCTAAGGCACCAGAAACACAGTGCGTGCCCCTGACCATTCCCTGTAACCACAGAGAGATTGGTCTCACCTGTCAATTTGTTGCCAGTGCACAGGTGCAGGTGGTGGTTTTGCAACTGGAGTTTGCTCTGGGTCCCCAGAGTCCTGCACGCAGTGTTTACCAATCCTGTAGGGAAAACACAAACCAGAGAACATAGAAGAGATTTAAGTATCAGATTTGCTCAACTGTCTGAGCAAATACCTTGCTGGCATGGAGACTCATGCTGCATTTCAACTCCTCAAGAATTATCTGTTCCGGCAGTCACCCCCTAACACATATGTCCCCTCAGTATGAGGGGACATGTTCACCAGGAGCTTCTCTGTCTTCTATCTTGTGTAGTCCTCCTAGCATCCGGCACAGGCTTAATCCTCCTAGATGCTTAATAAATATTTGTCTACTGATTGGCTGAGTGCTTACAGATCTTAAATATCACCCTGGCAAAGAAAGAGTGTGAGGAGTGTGGAGAATGTTTTAGGCTATGCATCTCTTTTGAAAACCTGACTTTTCAAAAACTTCCTGCCTAAGCTTTGTAAAGTGCTTTAAAGAGAGAGAGAGAGAGAGCAGATAAATTCAAATTAGCCTCCTGATGCAATCATGTGTGTCTGGCTGAGAGCGGAGCAAGGGTGGAAGCAAGACCAGGATGCCTGCCACTCCATGCACAAAAGACTGCAAAACCAACATCGCATAGATTGGAAAACATATCTAAGGTGGCGGCAAGAACAGGTGAGAAAGGAGATTGTTCTACAGCTGAGGACAGCAAGCCACTGCCAAAGATATATTTTGTTTGAATTGTTCATTTGTAAGACAACAACAACAAAAAAGTATTAGAATTAAATTAGAAACACTGGAAACACCAGATCCAAACTCTACAAGGTAACAGTTGGCTCTAGTTTATTCATATTCGTTCCTACCACCCTCTACTGTCTCCCTGTTATAAAGTTGCATGTAAATTGCCATTTGTCACCTTGCTTCCACTATAGTTTTTCTTACAAATCACATGAGGAGGAAAATTGGGGCTCCTGGCTGCCTCAAGTGGTAGAGCATGTGACTCTTGATCTCGAGGTTATGAGTCCAAGCCCCACACTGGGTGTAGAGATTACCTTTTTTTTAAAAATTGGGAGTAAAATGAAATGTTTGCATTCATGTCTCTATCAAAACTGGGAAAACAAAAGACAGACTGAAAGGGCCACATTGCTTCATGAAAATGTTTTACCCATGGCCCACTTTACTCACTTATGGCACATTCTGTGCCTTGTGGGCATTTTAATCTGCATCTTATATTAGTTTTATATTGTAATTATCACAAACTACTGCAGTTTGGTGGCTTAAACACAACCCAGATACATTATGATTGTGAAAGTCAGCAATCCAAAAGGGTTTCACTGGACTAGAACAAGGGGTCTACAGGGTCTCTATTGCTTCCGAAGGCTTTCAGGGGAGAAAATTCGGTCCCTTGCCTTTTCCAGCTCCCCTTGCTGCCCACATCCCTGGGCTCACGGCCCCCAGTCAGGAACCCATCTCTGCTTTTACTCCAATTTCTGCTTATAGCCATCATATCTCTCTCACACACAGCCCTGCTTCCCCATTGCCCCTGTATGGGCCCTTGTAATTACATTGGGACCACCTGGATAATTCACTTCCCTCCTCAAGGCACTCAATTTAATCACATCTACAATTCCCTTTGGCCACATAATGTGACACAGTCCTAGGTTCCAGGAATTAGGATGTGGGCATCTTCGGGGAGCCATCATTCTGCTTATCAGATACCCTGTTACAGAGGCCAGGAATTGTTATGCCACTGCTTTCTGAAGAGAAGAAAAGGGGGGAGGGGGCCAAAGGAAAAACTAAACATTTCAAAACTTTTGAAAATAATCCAGTTGAAATTCAACTTGCTCAAACTTCTGAACCTGAACAGGGAAATAAGGAAATAGAATGGTGAAGTGGTATTATGTCAACATTTAAATCCCTTTCCAAGTCTGGAGAATTTCCACCTTATGAGTTTTGGTGGGAATCAGGACCACTTTCCATCACAGGGTATGAATATGTTAGATACTGACTTTCCCATCATTCCTTGCAGCTGGGGCTGGCCTGGGATCTGGCTGCACCAATCAGAATGAGTCACAAGGGCTTGGAATTGAGAACTGTTAGCATAGGAAGTAAGGAATAGGCAGCTTCCTCTCTTTGGCCAGGCAAAGGCACCCACAATTTTCTCATCAAAACCCCTAGTTCTAAGGAGAACTAGGGCATTTTTCCTGCTTTGAGCAGGAATGCTTTTTCAATCACTGAGCTTGGTGTTCCAGCCTCACAATCATCCTGTGAACTACCCAATATTTTAAGAAACTCCTTCCCTGTCTAACTCCATTACACTCAACTTCTGCTGCTTGCAATGAAGACCAATGCAGAGAGTGTATGGCTGCAAATTGAGTATACAGGTTAAGATAGGTTAAGATATAGGTTAAGAGCTCTGGACTCAACCAGAGCTGGGTTCAGGTCCTAGATCTACCCCTTTCTAGTAGTGTTTTAACCCTGGCCAAGTTACTTAACCTCCCTAAGTTTCAAAGTAATTGTAACGGCACTGACCCTAACTCATAGGTATATGGACACCAAACAGGATAACACAAGTGAAGGACTTAGTCCAATGCTTAGTACATAGTGATAGATAGCTAGGTAAATAGCAGCTACTATTAATTTTAAAGGCTTTGAGTTAAAAATGTCAGCAAAGAATACCAATCCCTCAATATTCATTCTCCTCTTTTTCTTTGGTAATAGAAGCCCAGTTTTAGACGGGCACATGGCCACATGGAATAAGGCCTATCCCAGACTCCTCTGAAAGCTTAATGTTCCTATGTGACTTGGTTCTGGCCAAGAGGGTATAAGCTGAAACAAGCAACTTCCAGAAAATGTCCTTAAAGAGAGCAGACGTGCTCTAATTTGTTTCTTCCTCTATTACTTGGAATGCAAATATAATGGCTGGAGCTTGGACAGCTTTGTTAGGCCATGAGGTGGAAGCCAAGGGCTAAGTAGAGTGTAGTGGCAAGATAAAAGTGTCTGAGAACTGTGGAATGCATTCACAACCCCGGTACTGATTACCTTCAGGTCTCCTTTACTCCATAGAGAAGTGAACTTCCATATTGTGTAAGCCTGTGGTATTTTGGATTGCCATCACTCACAGCTGATATCACTCACACCTAATTGATATCAGAGTCCTTCCTACAACATCCCTAGTGGTGAGTCAACTGACTTTTGTTCGAACACTTTGAGTTATGAAAGCTTTGCTACCTGACAAGGAGCAAATTACCTTCTATTTTTAAAAGTTGCTTTTGTATTATAGAGTTAATATTTGAATCCATTGTGATTTTAAAAAACATGTAAAAAATATTTTAATGTTTATTTGTTTTTGAGGAAGAGGTGGGTAGAGGGGCAAGGGAAGGGACAGAGGATCAGAAGCAGGCTTCGTACTGACAGCAGCAAGCCCAGTGCATGGCTCTAACTTATGAACTGTGAGATCATGACCTGAGCTGAAGTCAGATGCTTAACCAACTGAGTCACCCACATGCCCCCCAAAAATGATATATTTTAAAGTATGAAATTCCCCATCATTCCCACTTCCATGGATTTCCTTCCTCGAAACTAACCATGGCTGGGGCACCTGGGTGGCTCAGTTGAGCGTCTGATTCTTGATTTCGGCTCAGGCCGTGATCTCGTGGTTCATGAGCTGGAACCCCACATCATCATCAGAGCCTGCTTGGGATTCTCTCTCTCTCCCTCTCTCTCTGCCCCTCCTGAGTGCTCTCCCACTCTCTGCCTCAAAATAAATAAATAAAACTTTTAAAAAAGAACCGACCATGGTCAACAGTCCAGTTATGTCTTTCTGGTCCCATCTCAATACAATTACATTCATACCAGTAGTGTAATAGTAGTGAGAATGCAGAGAAGGGACCCGACAAAAGAGAACCCACAGTACTCAATAACTGATGAGATAAGAGAATGGTGGAATTGAGAAGGGAGAACAGTCAAATAGGCAATCCAGGAGTCAAGCCGAGGTGAAACTGGGCAGGATGAGGGGACACAGCAGAAAAAAGAAGAGGAGAAAGGATAATTACCAGCCCAGTTCTGGGCAGTTTCATCTCCAGAAGTTGGCTGAAGCCACAGGCAGGTGTCTGAGAGGTTCAGAATTGAGGGTGAGGAATGCAGTCTCCTGCA